CTCGTGAAGAAAAAGGATGGCACACTCAGAGTCTGTGTTGACTACAGAGAGCTCAACAAAGTTACTCGTCAGGACTCGTACCCTCTACCGAAAATAGATACCGTTCTACAGTGCCTTGCTGGCAAGAAAGTATTCTCCACTATGGATCTCGCTTCCGGATACTGGCAGATACGTCTCTCTGATGACGCAAAGAGAAAAAGCGCGTTCACCACGAGTGAAGGCCTATTCCAATTCACGGTATTACCCTTTGGACTGTCAACAAGCCCGGCGGTCTTCCAGCGCTTGATGGACATTGTCCTCAGAGGATTAGAGCTGGACAACGAGGTTTTCGTTTACGTTGATGATATCTTAGTAGCCACGGATTCCATAGAACGACATTACGTCGTATTACGAAAGGTATTCGAAGCCCTTCGTAAGGCGAACCTGCGGCTGAAGCCTCAGAAGTGTGAATTTTTCAAGGATAATGTTATGTATTTGGGCCATCGGATCGACAAAGATGGAATAAAGACAGACCCCGAGAAGATTAAGAAGATCACAGACTATCCGCCACCCTCAAACGTGGGTGAGTTGAGGACATTCTTAGGAATGGCTTCCTATTACAGGAAGTTCATAGCTGGCTTTGCCAAAATGACAAAGGGTTTGTACATGTTGCTAAGCCCGAAGGCTGTATGGGAGTGGACACTCGAACAGAGTCAGCAATTTGAATGTCTGAAAAAAGCGTTAACCACCACACCAGTTCTTGCCCAACCCAATGTTTCGGCAGCAGAAAGCGGCAGCAAACCTTTCATAATCTACACAGACGCGTCAGGTGAAGGACTGGGAGCAGTGCTCTGCCAAGAAGGAGAAGACCGATTCCTTCATCCAATAATGTTTGCTTCGAAAAGCCTGTCTAAAGCGGAAAAGAATTACCACATCACTGACCTCGAAGCCTTAGCCGTTGTCTTCGCTCTGAAAAAGTTTCACTTTTTCGTTTACGGCTTACACACAATAGTGCGAACCGATCATCAGCCTTTAACTTGTCTGTTCAAAAGAACGAACGTTTCGGCACGGGTACTAAGATGGGCCCTAGAACTGCAAAAGTATAAGCTACAAATCGAGCATGTTTCGGGAAAAGCAAACGTTGTCGCGGACGCACTGTCGCGAATCGCGGCAAAAGTCCCTGAGGATGAGCCCACAGTTCCTGAGAATGACATGGTCATCTGTAAAGTGGACAAACAGGAAAGTGAGTGGCTCCAAGAACTCAAGGAAGATCCGGACTACAAACAGCTATTGGACAAAATGCTACAGAAAGATGAAAACGCAGAAGTGCAGCTCCCTCGGTGCAAACAGAAGTATAGGGTCGCTGACTTCTACATTGATAATGGGGACCTTATGATGATGTTCGGTAACTCCTCAGTCAAGGTAGTGCCAAAATCGAAGAGAAAGACGTTGTTCCAAGAGGCACACGGAGGTATCATGGCTGGACATCTCAACGCGCGCAAACTGTACCGAAAACTTAGGAAACTAGTGTTCTGGGAAGGCATGGAGGCCGACATCGCCAAATGGTCTAAAGAATGCTCAGAATGTTTCCTATCCAGGGCTCATGAGTCGCTTACTCCTCCTTTGAAACCATTTACTGTAAATGCTCCATTTGAACTCGTAGGAGTAGATTTGGTGGAATATGGGCTCACTGAACGAGGGAACAAGTATGCTCTGGTAGTCATTGATCATTTTTCGAAGTTCCTAGGCGCCTATCCCATCCCCAACAAAGCCGCTGGGACAGTGGCTCGCGCATTCTTTGAGAGATGGATATGTGATGGCTGCAGGTGGCCCAAACGTCTCCATTCAGATCAGGGCCCAGAATTTGTAAATTCTATAATGTCGGGAGTTTGTGACATCACGGGCATAGAGCAATCTGTGACGAAAGGATACAATCCCCGAGAAAATGGTATAACGGAAAGGGCCATAGAGACGTTAACGAGAATGCTGAGAAAGAAAACGGTTATTCCAGCTGACTGGGATCTGCTCTTACCTATGGTAGTTTTTGCCTATAACTCATCACCACATGACGCAATAGGCGAGAGCCCATTTTATCTGTTACATGCATTTGATCCAAACTACCCCTCCAATGTAATCCCTCGGGATCAGCTTTCTTTCAATCACATTGATGTCGATAGCTACAAACACGAACTCCTGGCAGGAATTCAACTTGCACGGGAATGCGCTAAAGAACTCAATGAAAAGTACAAAGCGCGCATGAAAGAGGGATACGACAAACGAAACAAGGTCGACACACGTGAATTACCCAAGATAGGTGACCGGGTGTTTCTCAAACTCCCCAGAGAGAAAGCCAACAAAAGATACCCTAAGCTAGTTGAACCTTGGGGAGGGCCTTATCGTGTAATTGAGACAAGCGCAAACTCGGCACTGATAGCAAACATAAATGAAAAGGAGGAGCCAATTAGGGTTCCGTTCGACGCACTAATTCTGGTCCCCGTAGAAGTACAAAACACGCCACGAACTACAACAACAAAAAGAGTAAAAAGGCATCAGGCAAAATCTGTTCATTGTTGTAATGTTGGTTGCAGAGCCACTGCGAATGGCGATGACACGAGTCCGCTTGGAATCTTTTTCCGGTGTCCGGGAAAATACGGCTGGAGCGACGACGGATATGGATACTCGTGCTCGGTGCAAGAGAAGACATTCAAGGACGTGGTGCCCACAGCCTCAGAGGCCATCGGAAACCTTCGTTTCGATTCGATTTTTGCTCTTGCCAGGCTAATCTCCATCTATGAGCATGAACAAAATGAAGAACGTAGGCGCTTCCTTATGTTGGACCCAAAACAAGTTCGCATCAGCATAGCGGGTGTTCAGAAAGCCTACCTCTTTTATAAGAAACATTGCGACCATGTCTTTCGTACCCTAATCCTCCACGATGGATCTCTTCTCTGTCTCGCACACGATGGCGGAACGGGCCTGCCCATCGAGGAACTTAACCTGGTAGTCAATGAGGCCGTAAGGTTTGCGAAAGGGAACGAGTGGGACGAAATTGCGCATGAGGAGTTCGCCAAGGTCGTAATGATATTACCCGATAGCTTCCGCTTAATCAATTCTGCTTTCAAGGAAAACCCCGACCTGGAACGTCGTTTATACAGCAAGCTGAGCGATATCGGAGGGCTTCTTGAAAGGTCAACGGCACGTTTGTGCGTGCTCGTGGGCCCAACGTCGGACGAACCATATCCCAAGCGAGAGTGGTGTAAGGTAGCTTCCGCATTGGCGGCAGCAGCTCGCGCAGGCATGAAGATCATGGCTGTAGCTCCACCGCGCGGCGATAAGGCCTACATGCAGAACAGAGCTGATATGAATGATACCATTGACCTCGCTAAGGCCGCAGCAGTGCTCATGAAGCAAGGTTTAATCAGTCTAATTCCAGCAATTGAGTCCCCGCAGGAGCCTTCCCACGGGCCGGGAGCCCACCCTAGAGGGTCCAACACGCAGGCGTACTCGAGGGAAGTGATCGCTGAATACTTTGCCGCGCTTCGTACGTACGTGAAGGGAACGGTAGACTTACCACCGCTAGAAGCAGCAGTAAGTAGCCGCTGCGCACGCGTGCGCAACTACTTTAAGCAGAAGAAAGAGGCTCTCAAACGAAGCCGCACCCCTGCTAATCCGAAACCCAGCCGTTCGATACTCAGGAGCATCCAATGTGGGGCGCAAGCAGGCCCAGTAATGATGGGACCCCATATGTACCCAACTTCGGTACCGCTTCTACCATATCACCAATGGACGTTCCCTTCCACATCGTCCAGCCGCGGCGACCACTCACGCACGCGTGGACACCAATCCCGTCGCGGGTACTCCCACAAAACCCACAGGCAGCCGCATTAGGTACCTTCCTCGCCGTAGTAGTTGTTGTACCCACACTGATTGTACTGATAATCGTTGTATTCCTATAATACCTGCAGTTGTATGAAAATCACACATATTCTTTGTTGTAACCGCATCATTTATTTGTACCCAGTTGTTCGCTGAAGTTGTACCACATTATGATTTCTCTAAAGACTCAGGAATGTTGTTGTATATTGTTGAGTTCATATAAACCATAGTATCTTTTTCATGTTCCGAAGCGGCAGGGACGCCGCTTCCCCTCGGGGGAGGCATGTCAAAGAATAATAGTCTCTAAATAACATATTGTTGTGCTCTTGCTGTAATATTCGCCTTTTCAAACCCTGTCAGTATCGATTTATTCAAACCGTAGAACAAATCCGGGTGACCCGCGCTTTGGCGGGAAAACGCCGTATATAAGCAAGCCGTACACGTTTGAAGGATCTTCTTCTGGAGGACGCCAGTCGGACGACGCCAGCCTACCCACTTCCTGTTCCTGTTGATATTCGCTAATAAATTCTGCTGTATTGCGCTCGCTACACACCCAGGGAATACCGGGCGCGCCCGAAGTGGACAGATCCGAGGAACCGTGAACTGTCCAAAGCGACTGGAGCACCGAGGGAGACTTCGTTGAGCTCCAGTCAAAAGAAGGAAGGGCGCATTTTGATGCCACATGGGGGCCAAGCCAACCTGGGACAAGTAGTGGCAAGTGGAAGGACTCAAATCGGGCTCCGGCTGTGCATCATAGCCGTGATCATCGATTTAGCGTAGAGTAGTTTCGCAATCCGGTGCAAACCGTGACTCGACACTAAAATCTGAGAACGGGAGCGGGGCAGGCCGACGTAATATTGTTTTTTATACTGTCGTTGCATAACTGTTATCCCGTTTTTTTTGTCATCGAACTCCGATCTTCGTGTCGTGATTTTCGTTCGTTAGCGTCGCTCTTATATACAGTGCACATTCGAACAAGCGTTCCAGGTTCTGTGAATCACGATTCGTGTTCCAGAAAATGATGGCACGCCCAAATGAAGAAGAATTTGTCCACACATCTGGCGAGGACGAGGAGATGTTCGAAGAGAATGTGAGTAAAGATTTTGTGAGAGAGTTCGACAGACTCTCAAACAAAGTGTTAAGTCATGTGAATTCGATCGCTATAACGTGTGATACGGAGCTATCCAAAATGATGCGCACTGACGACCCGCGCAGAGACTCAGTAGTCTCGTCCGTTCGCGAGCAAGTAGCGATGGTAAAAGAAATTGTTAAGGCGGTGTTCGGGGAAATAAGCGAGTTGAGTCAGCCGCAAGTAGCGGAACATGTCTTAGAGGCGCTTCGCGAAGCACATATAAATAGTGTGCCGCAACTGCGAGCGCATTTAGGTCGGAATGCCGCGATGGCCAACACAATAAAGGAGGCGTGCGAAATCCTGCAATGTCAGGAAGGAGAAGTAAGCGCGACATTGAGAGGCCTCTCCGCAGGTCTCAAAGTAGAAAGGCAGAAGTCTGACGAGCTTCGACTACAATTAATGCAAAAGGAATTTCAGCTCGAACAGTTGCGTCAAGAAGTCGAACATCTCGGACAGCCAAACAAGATGAGCACCTCCAGAAATCAGGATAATAGTGCCTCGGAGCGAGGTGAGTTCCATCCACTAAGACAGCACTGTACGTTAGAGACCAATGCCCAGAGCAACCAGTCTTTACAGATGCGCTCCTCAAAGACTTGGATACCATCGAACCAACAGTATTGCGTGACTACGCCGAGAGGCGAATCAGAGAACTGTCCAGGAACTCCACATTCGTCGGTCACAGGTGAGGATAGCGAGTTTTCGTTGAGTGATTACATGCGTACCATGTCCTTACCAGAAGTACAACCTTTCTTTGGTAAACCGGGCGAGTGTTTTAAACGATTTCTGAGTTCGTTTGAAATGAAGTACCCAAAGAACCAATGGAAAGACTCCAACAGACTACAACTTTTGCAAAGCTTCTTTAGGAGAAATGCTCTGACAATATTCGAGACCCTACCGAAAGAGGTGCGAGAGGGCACCTTTGACGGTGTTGTTAAAGCAATGAAGGATAGGCTACGCGTAGATGGGAATAGCCAGCGGGTAAAGGCTTTGGCAGACCTGCGCACATTAGCCATTCGACCGGGGCAAACCGTCAGCGAGTTTTGCTTCGTGATAGAGCATTTGGCGAATAAGGCATATCCAGACATGCCCTCAGAGGCTACTTCATTGCAGAAAGCAGAGATTTTGTGCAGGCAACTAGCCAATTGGAATGGTAGTTATTGTCTAACTGAAGCGCTAGAGACTAGTAGTTGCGAGCGCGCATACGAGAAGGTCAAGGAGGCGGCCCTTCGATTAGAACGAAGCCTGAGAATAGCGAGTGAATACAAATCATCAACCACTACGAGGACGACAGAGGATTCTGTCAACACGTGGGATACAAAACGTGGAGCACGTGGCAGACAGGACTGGGAAGGCAACTCAAAACGGGAGGACGAAAAACCACGCCATCCTCCACCAGGCACAAAAAAGGAGCTTACTCCCCGTTTTCAGAAAAGGAAAAGTGACCCGTCGAAATGCTACAATTGCGGTAAAATGGGCCATTTGGCAAAGGAATGTCATGCACCACCACAGGCACGACAACAAAACACCGCAAAGGTGGGAGATGCTCACCAAACGCCTGGTTCAACGTATGCTTCCCGCGTAGACAAATGGTTGTGTACAACTTGGGACGGCCCACAACCCGGCACAAGCCAACTATTTGGGGAAAAGCCGCTGGTAGAGATAACGATCTGTGGTATAAAAGCGAAGGCGCTCTTGGACACGGGTTCACAGACTACAATCATTCCAGTGAAACTATTGAAGAGAGCCGCCAACGAGGGTGTCAACTTGGACGAATACATTGAACGTTTACCCAATCCCAAAGTGGCAGTTCGCGATGCCTCCGGAAATAGGATGAAGTTCTTTGACACCATTCGCGTAGCGATAACATTAGAACATCACCTGGAGTTCGTGCCAGCTTATGTCGGAAAAGGATTCGACGAAGTGGTAATTCTGGGTACAAATGCGCTAGAGTTGTTCAATCTTAAGCTCTCCAAAAGCGCTAAACGAGAACCTCATAACAGCGATCAGGTGGTTAATAGCCTCCAAGCAGACCGAGCAGCACGTGTCAAAAGTAGGCTTTTTGTCCCATCCAAAGCCGCGCGAACTCTGACGCTGACATGTGCACGTGTACACTCTTGCGAGTCACCATTCCTCCGCTCGCATCATCCACTTATACCTGATGGTCTATGCAGCGCCCTGGGCAGCGATGAGGTGAACATACCAGTCATCAATAGCTCAGATCAAGGGATGGTATTTAGAAAAGGAGAGAAGGTAGGAGAGTGGCAAGACAACGACTGGGTTAAGCCGAAGTATGTCTCACCCGACCGGGACATGTTGGATTTGCACGGACCAAAAACATGGTGCTCTTCGGCCAAGCGTGTAGAGGTTCTAATGGGGATAATCCAGCAGCACAGTGCCCTTACACTTGAATCCGAAATCCTTTTAAAGGAATTTAACAATGTATTCGCTGTTACTGATGCTGAGCTTACCCAGACGCACCTAGTTGTACATGACATTGACACCGGCGACCACAAGCCCATAAGACAGAAAACCAGGCCAGTTCCCATAGCAGCACGGAAGGAATTCAAGGAAATCCTCAAAGACTTGGTGGAACGTGGTATCGTGGAGAGAAGTTCCTCGGACTGGGCTTCTCCTGTTGTTCTCGTGAAGAAAAAGGATGGCACACTCAGAGTCTGTGTTGACTACAGAGAGCTCAACAAAGTTACTCGTCAGGACTCGTACCCTCTACCGAAAATAGATACCGTTCTACAGTGCCTTGCTGGCAAGAAAGTATTCTCCACTATGGATCTCGCTTCCGGATACTGGCAGATACGTCTCTCTGATGACGCAAAGAGAAAAAGCGCGTTCACCACGAGTGAAGGCCTATTCCAATTCACGGTATTACCCTTTGGACTGTCAACAAGCCCGGCGGTCTTCCAGCGCTTGATGGACATTGTCCTCAGAGGATTAGAGCTGGACAACGAGGTTTTCGTTTACGTTGATGATATCTTAGTAGCCACGGATTCCATAGAACGACATTACGTCGTATTACGAAAGGTATTCGAAGCCCTTCGTAAGGCGAACCTGCGGCTGAAGCCTCAGAAGTGTGAATTTTTCAAGGATAATGTTATGTATTTGGGCCATCGGATCGACAAAGATGGAATAAAGACAGACCCCGAGAAGATTAAGAAGATCACAGACTATCCGCCACCCTCAAACGTGGGTGAGTTGAGGACATTCTTAGGAATGGCTTCCTATTACAGGAAGTTCATAGCTGGCTTTGCCAAAATGACAAAGGGTTTGTACATGTTGCTAAGCCCGAAGGCTG